GTTAATAAGCTTTTATTTCTGTTAGCCTGAAGTAGATGGGGACATTGTGTCGAAAGTTTGTGGTTGCGTGCTTTGTCAGGAGGACCGGAACACTGTGCCCCATGTGCCAATACAGCCATGAAAGTAGCCAGAGGCACCATGAAAACGTACTCCCGTAGATTTTTTGGGCCCTTTCGAAGTCCAGAAGACCTTGTTGATCATTGATGACCATTTCAAGTGGATTGATGCCCTCGTTCAGTCCAAGGCAAGTTTAGCTAACACTAAAATTAAAGTGCATACTAGGTTAGCAACATTCGGTCTTTCGGAAACACTAGTGTCAGTTAATTGAACTGCTTTCACCAGTGTCGGATTTGCTGTCTTGCTGACCTCGAATGCGCATTATCATTCATCATCAAACGGCTAAGAGAGCTGTGCTGACAATGAAGAATAGATTACTGAAGCAACCAGCAGCCCCACTGCGTGTGCGTTTAGACCATGACGTTTTCGCTTATCGAAATATAACAAGCCAAATAAAGGGTGGCCATCCATTGTTTACACGGTTGCGTTTCTTGCACGGTACCTTGGTTCAGAGGTTTTGCGAAAAACAAGAACGCACAAAAGAAAGCTCTGACACAAGCAGAAGCGACAGGCTGAAAGAAGAAACTGATCCAACCTTTATTCAAGTACTTACAGATGCTAGGTGTCAAACGATCATCGTTTAAACAACCAACGGGCAAACCAGTGAGACAGCAACTGTGGGTGGTGGAATGGTCAAATGCCACTTACAGTGCGTCCAAAAGATCTGGACCGTTTTCCGGGCAAGCACGTTGAAGTGACACGACATGAGCATACCTACGGGACGCGAGAGATTTTCGACCGTAAGTTTGTCATCCAAGGGCGAATGTTTCATGCAGTTGGGCACAGAAACGTATTTGTCTTTTGTGCTTGCGAGCGGATAGTAAGTTGGCTAAGCACATTCATTCAAAGCACTTATTCCTTTGCGTTCACGTTAGTTAGACAATCCAAATAGCCGTGAATCGATCTCCAGACAATGGCGAAGTCACCCAATCAATGAGGACATCCAAAAGCGACGGCTTGTCTTTTTTCTATTTCACTAGAGAACATTGAGTGATGTGCTACCTTGAATAACTCGTGCAGACGGAAGAAATCAGTATGAGAATCACAGATGATGAATTGCCATCCATATACCCACAGTAAGAATCTAATGAAGCGTTTCTGGATGTACCGTTGAGGAGGTGCAAGGATGGCTTACTTGAGCAAAACGTATGCCGAAGGCTACATGGGTTGGTCAGTATACACTCGTTTGAGATAGAAAAGCAAATTAGTGCGTTGATTATACTAGCATCTCACCAAATTTTGTAGTTCGGATACACTGTAGGGAGAGAACGAATTAATCTTACGAACGCTAATTTCTAACGTCCAACCTGCACCGTTTATCAAAACCACACCATTACCCGCCAGCGATTTAAGCCTGTAGTAATGGCTTCAAAAAAGAATGTGTTTCTCTCTGTTCCTTCTAAGGGAGATATCGCCATCGATTTTCGGAACTGGAGACTCCACCGGCCGCTTACCTACATCTTCTTGCTTAGGCCGCACCCTTTACAATTCAAAGTCTTCAAAGCAAACTGCCAGCTCTGTCCAAACTGTACATTTCTCTCAGTTTACTAGCAGCTGTGGTACCATGTACCCCGGACATACGACCAGGCATCTGTCAGTACCGATGGCTGAGCACGGTCTAGTATCACTACGAACAGGCAAACTCGCAAGTATCGACAGTTCCATCTGGGAACATTTCCTTCAAAGTGTGCACCAAATTTTGACAATATGCTTTCAAGTTTTTGAATGGCCTAACGAAACAATACCAGAAGGGACTGAAGCAATACCACTTGCAGACGGCTGAGGCGATTGCGATCAGGCTAACACAACCACAGCTATCCAAGCATTGAGTGTCTGTGTAACCATTGGCTTTGCCATGGCCCTGCCGAGAAATCTATCCCTTAAAACATTACAAAAATGAGGGTGTTATTATATTTTCGGTATAATTTTACCTCTTCTGTTAACCCAAGTTGTTTCATTGCGTAAGCTGGGTAGTCCTGTCGCAACGTTACTTGGTTCTATCGAGTTGAGCATAGAACGAATACGCGAAACCTGTTCAAACCGTCCCATACATTCTCTTTTCTGTCTTCGCTAGGCTGCAGTTGCATTTGTCAATCTTATAACTGTAAATGCCTGGGGTGAGGTACCCAAAAGAAATATATTTGCAACACTGCTTTGCACTGTGCTTTTCGTTTAGAGTCCTCATGACCCACGCAACTCATGCATAAGCTGAGCTTCCCTTTGATGTACCGTTGTTCTTACTGTTTGCTCTAATTTGCGTCCCACCGAGCAGCCGTGTGTTTTGACTTTTTCTTGTGATAACAGACATCACCCACATGGGAGTAGTATAGGCCTTGGGTAATCGAGTGAGCTAATAATGGCGCTGCTTGCACTGCAGCTTGTTCCTTGGTTTGATTCGGGGTGACATACGAGTTTTAGACCTAAAGATGTACGTAAAACGATGGCAATTAAACTTCTTTGAATTTTAGCTTTGGAAACCGTCCCTCTCTTCACTACTCATGAAGAACGTTTGGTGATAAATCAGCTCGACTAAGGAACTAACTAGCTGCCCATTTGTTCTTACAAAGCCTCAAACACTGGCTCCAGCGTCATGAGCAGAGTCATGAAGTGGGAACGAAACTGCTGCAACGTATAATTTCCATTTCCTAATGTGAATTACCGCTATGCATCTTGGTTGAATTTGTGATACTTTGGCATTCACAGAAGATACGGTTATGTTGTTCGACGCATCCATGTGGTATGGTATATCCTAAAGTTGGAAAAACATTAAAGAACGGAAAACACTCATGCTGACAATATATATTTTCGGTCAAACGCAAAACGCGCAATAAGTTAGTCTTGGTGAAAGAATGCTCATAATTTGACTAGCATTTCTGACTTCATCCTTGTACGGTAGATCACTAAAATGAGAAAGTATTGCATTGTGATGCTTAAAGGGCTTCCTTTGCTTAACAATAGTAAGTTATAATTTAATATACCCATGTAATTTTACTAAGAAATATTAACAAAATAACACATGTTGCAAGATACGTTCCGGAAAAGCAGTGGCTCCGCACCACTTTTAGTTTTGGGAAACAATTACCGTGCACCTGACAACCATACATCACTGTTCAGAGGCAAGTGCAAGTTAGACTTACTTTAACTAAAATCAATCATGGCTGTAAGAGTGAAGTAGAGGGATTCACATATCAATGAAGATAATTCCGAAGATTTCAGCTTAAGCTCAAGTGGTGATGTGAACATTTCTGCATTCCTTGAACTCCAAGCGTCCAAGCTATGCGCATTCTCTTAATGCTATACTTGAACACGGGGGTTTCCTTACGGATAGAGTGTACCTTATATGCAAGCATTTCGAAGTACAAAGCACAAGTAGATATTATTGGTAAGACACAATATTTGGTTGAGTTAATTGTCGCAGAATGTTTGTCGTTAGAAGATCCCATTCATAAATATACAGGTGATATATGTCATGAAACGGACAAAATCTTACCTCCACCGCAGCAGTGGTCTGTAAATGAAGTGAATGTTGATGGCGGGCTTCATAATACGCTTTACGTTAAATCATTTACTCAACCATTAATCCAAAACACATGATCCGAAATGAAGTGTACGATAAAGTGAATCAGTTTGTTACCTAATTGGAAGTGCGCTGTTTTATGTGCCAAGGGAGAAATCATTGTGAAACGCAGTCGTGATCACGACAAGTGATGTCATAACTTTCGTAGTAATGAAGACCCTTGGTTTGTTTTGAGCACACCATTGTTACAGTACAGCTTATGGATTATCAAGGATTGCAGTGAATCACTACAGTTATGGGGATTTTCGTGCCTCCCCATCAAATAACCTTAATCGTAGCAGCTGCCATAATCTGTGACAGTTCACAAACCAGTCAAGCTGCACTTGACAAATTAGCACTGGCTGTCCGTCACTTCGGGCTTTGCTTTGCATCCTCGAAGTGCAAAGCGTTCCTCCAAGATTGACCTGGACTGCCTCCTGTGCTGACGCTTGATGGGGATCAGCTAGAAGTTGTACAAAAATTAACCTACTTGGAAAGTTGCATCAGCCCTCCTGAGATTGAAGATGAGATCACGAACCATATTGCAAAATTTCGAGGCGCTTTTACTAACCTTCGCCACTTATGGAGTCGAAGCGACATCACTCTCGCCCTGAACGGTAGAGCGTACAATGAAGCGGTACTTTCAACCCTAATGTACGGTTGTGAAACCTGGCTCCTTAGATCAACGGACTTAAGAGGCTAGTTACGTTCGACCACCAGTGCCTTCTCAGTTTGGCTCACATCTCGTGGGAACACCGGGGGAGCAACGAGCGTGTTTGGTGCTTTGTTTACAGCGTAGAAAAAGAAACTGGACCGCTCAGCACCGTTAGTTCACGCACCAGACTCCGATAGCTTGGTCACGTGTTACGCATGTCAGCCCACCGGCTCACGCGACTTGTTTGTTTGCCGGGAGTGCGGATGAAAGAAGATGTGCGATGAGTTGGTCGAGAGGAATGAGGGCTCTAACTTAGAGGCTTGCATCGGTTGGAGCGTCTCGGGTGCTTGGTTGAGGTCCGAAAGACGATGAACACGTTTGGCTGGATACACTTGCTGACGTGGCTAGGAGCCGACTACAGTGGCGTTCGTGCTGTGAGTTTCTTTGTTACATCCCATCCCTCTTAGCCTCCCCTCCAACCACGCTCTAACAACTAGCCTTATATAATTTTGCATAGTAAATTTTTGCTTCATAGTAGCCGACAGATAACTAACCGGAACGAAACCCATCCGGTGCTGATAGCTCAGGTGTCATGCAACTGTTAGATTTTTCCTTATTTTTCTTCCAGTTATTGCGGCATAGTAGCTGAGGTGTTTCCCACCACGAGCTAATATGTGTAATGATGATGATGATGATGATGATGATGATGATGATGATGATGATGAGGATGAGGATGCCGATGATGATGATGATGACGTTGATGATGATGATGATGATGATGATGATGATGATGATGATGATGATGATGATGATGATGATGATGATGATGATGATGATGATGATGATGATGATGATGATGATGATGATGATGATGATGATGATCATGTTGGTGATGATGATGAGGATGATGATGATGATGATGATGATGAGGATGATGATGATGATGATGATGATGATGATGATGATGCTGATGATGATGACGATGATGATGATGATGAGGATGATGAGGATGATGATGATGAGGATGATGATGATGATGATGAGGATGATGAGGATGATGATGATGATGATGATGATGATGATGATGATGATGATGATGATGATGAGGATGAGGATGAGGATGAGGATGCCGATGATGATGATGATGACGTTGATGATGATGTTGATGATGATGATGATGATGATGATCATGTTGGTGATGATGATGATGATGAGGATGATGATGATGATGATGATGATGATGATGAGGATGATGATGATGATGATGATGATGATGCTGATGATGATGATGATGATGATGATGATGATGATGATGATGATGATGGTGATGATGATGATGATGATGATGATGATGATGATGATGATGATGATGATGATGATGATGATGATGATGATGATGATGATGATGATGATGATGATGATGATGAATCGTAGTACCATTCTTTCATGGGGCAATAGCTGGTACACCAAAGATTTCGAAGGCTTGTCACTACCTCATCGGTTGGTATTATCCTACTGAATGCGAATGTACCTCCAAAACAACCAAAGTAAGTTGCATCCAATGGGGTAAGTTTGCCTTTTTATACACCTGTTGAGAATCTGCGATTACGCACTTCTGAGGTTGTTTTCCATACATCACTTTTCGCTTGATCATTTTACCAATATGCTAGAGTTGCCTTAATCCCCTTCCTTGGACGTGATCAGTTCTGTCTCTCTGCCCCACATTTAATGTCAATTCCGAAAATGCCATTACATCGTCCTTTCTCCTGTCCAGTTACGACCCTAATAGTCCAAATCACAGTTACGCGTGCGATGCATTCAGATACACTGAGTAATGGCTAATAGCGGCTAATCGCGCAAAACTACAATGGGACTCCACGCAGTGACTTGTGCTTCACGAAAGGCGGGCCAAATCAACCTTTGCCATATTGAGTGCGCCCTAAAGAACACCAACAATTGGGAGAGATGGAATTCAGGAAACGTACACACTTGTCAACATAACTTTTTATTAATGGGTACTTAACATTGCTAGGGCAAATTCCCTTAAATTAATGATTATGACTGATAGTGTATCTTCAATCTTCACAAGTACACCTTCGTATTATCATTGTCTGTTGGGATCAAGTTTTCCTATGTACTTTGAAATATGTGATTTCACAAGATTCGCGCTACGTTTGTGCAGTTGCCCAGGTAGATGCTGTGAATCTCTCCTTCAATTGAAGCTTGACATCAGGCTCACTAATACTTTGAGAAGTTGCCTCATTACTTTGCAGTATCCACCCTACGAACTGCTTTCAACTGGACGTGAACAAGCGCCTTCCCGTCCGGATACGCCAATCGTACCACCAGTGCTCCGGATTGTACCAATCTCTATGACCACTATTCGGCTTCATCTTGTACCTGCTATATTGTAGCATGCGTGGGCAACCTACTGCTTCTCAATGTTGCTCTCGCTTACTGACCAATGTTACACACACGCTTGAGGCGCGTGCGCCCAGGTCATTTGGAATAATCTTCCATACCTTCACTCTATCTACTAGGAACTTAGTCACTGTAAGCTCATTCGAACCAGAGTTACCAGCTCCAGACAGTGCTCCAACATACGTGGAATTATTTACTACCACTAAAGTCCTAAGCATTGCTAACGGATTTGAGTGTCATCCAGCAGATAACGCATTCAACTTTTGCCCATTACCCTTCTGTGTAACACCACTCGGTGAAGAATTCTCGAGGCAGTCCGAAAAGCCGTAGTTTAATCCCATCGGGTGTTTCTCAACATATCTGTGAAGGAATTTGTGATCTCTCAATCTATCATTTACTAGGTCCCAAACCTTCCGTGTCTAACATCGATTGATCAACCGACTAACACGGCAACGTGTGATTACAAGGGATCATCACTGACAGCGGGGGCGCCAGGCTGACTCACAATTATCATTGACATGGGAAGCTGCACTAACTGATCATGCGACAAACGCGTGACTTTAAAACTTCACGCCCTTGGCGACCACCTCTCACTTTAACAGCAAGTATGACTAGTATTATAACTTGGTGAAGGGTGGGCTAGGTTACAGCAGTTGCTTGAAAACCTGTCACACAAAATGCCTTGGGACGGAGCTGATACAACAAGACGGTACAACAACATGAGATTGAACTTCGGTTCTGCCAAGTACGCAGTGCTATCCCAGTTGTTAGCTATCTAACTGTGCTACTGAAGAAGTGTGAAGGACTAACCGAAGCATCAGAGCTACTGGTGTACGCCAGGGTTACACCTATGAAAGGAAACGGACCTACACTCGTACGTGAAAATAACACCCCCACTTCCCCATTCAGGCCAAAGAAGAGAACAAGGCGTCCCAAAATTACCTCAACGAGTCAGTCCTAATTAATGCCAACTCCCTTCTCTCGCTCTCTCCCATAAGTAAAAACTCTGTTTGCAGCGTGCCTGCTTCAACTTTTCTACAGTGTGTCACACCTGGTAGTTTGTGGTCTATACAGGAGACCCTAAGTTGCAATCAAGCTGTCACAGTGAGGAACCAGGTAACATGCATGAGTTGCCACCAAGCAAACAACGGAAAGAACACCGGTAACTTTCGTGGCCGGACTAGAGAAAACTAAAATATAGCAGCACGGATGGCCCCCATCAGTGCCGTTCACAAAGTCACCAAAAGCACCAGAATCTAAAGCTCCAAAACCAGTAACCATAAAGCGCAACCATGATGCCTTAAACCCTGTGTTCACTAATGTCTCCGAATCCAATCCAATACAAGGGTAGGCTGACGGACGTTAGCAATCATTGGAGTTCCATGTGACGGCAACCGGTGTCCATGCTAATCCCACGATACTAAAACGCATCTCGCGCCACTCAGACGCATTGCATTACAGATAACCCAGCTACTTCGGGTAAAACCACACTCAGTGGATGAGACAGAGGTTGTTAGAAACAACTCCGCAACGCCTCAAGTGGAGCGCGCATGCTATCTGACATCATGTAGAAAGAACGTGCAGCGGATCCAACTAACAGAGATAGGAACAGAAGTCAAGATAAGAGAACTGTGATTGCTCAAGGTGTTCCTGAGCTTACAGATTCCTCTTCTGACGATGCTCAGATGCACGGCTCGGAGCAATGGTACTAAATCCGTGGGGCGGTTTCTCTCAAAACTGTCATGATCACATCTTTGACAAGGATCCCTGTATCATCGAACTATAAGGAGTGCGGGTCCAGGCTGCTGAAACTGGTGTTACAATCAAAACTAACGGCACAAACTCTTCTAGAGAACTGGACTAAATTCCGTAGCAGGGTGTCAACAGAAATTCGTCTGAAAGCAGCAGGAACACCACCACCTTGCAATGACAAGTCAGTGGAGGCGTAATTCTCAATGAAAACATCAATTGTAGGTCCTGACTTGGTAGCTGTTTCAACAGTAGCCATACCATCCGGAGAGACACGGCAGAGCACGAGGGAACACTGGGGTTCTTGGCATCTGACACTAGAATATATACTAAATTCGTTTCAAGAGTCTGCAACGCATCCAAAAAAGAATTAGCCGCTGACCTTACATCGATGGACGTAAACTCACTGGCTTCATCCATTCCACCCAACACACCTTTGGTCTCCGGGAAGTACTAATGCATATACACAAATGCCTGAGGTCTACTCAGCAAGTTAGCTGAATTAAGACTTCAACTCGTCTCAGCAGCTTGGGAGCTCATTGCTATCACGAAAACATGGTTGCGTTGTGAGATAACGGATGCCGAAATCGCGCTAAGAGGTATGTCTGTTGTCCGGAATGATCGAACCAAAAAAGTTGGTGAGGTGGCCCTCTACTTTCGTAACAACTTGAATGATAACCCATGCACGATTAGGCAACTGATGTACCTGACTCCATTTGAAGCAGCTTCCGGCTGATAGGGAAGGATTTTGGCCTGGTAATTGTTGTTTACAGCCCATCATCGTCTATACCTGAGGTACCCGAAAACAATGGTTCTGCGTTGTGGCAGGTGATACGCAGAAGTCGCCGGCGAGTTCAACTTACATGCTCTAGAATTTCAGGCCACATCAGCAGAGCAACTCAAAGCAAACCTACCAGGTCTTGTCCCAGACTTTTCGCTTTATGCCAAGTGACTGCTCACCAGATTTATGGGAAATAACAAGCCATCCAATCGGATGTACCCACGGACGCCGCGGATTTTTGGATTCACGTGCTGGATTCCACTTTTGCTTCGGAATTACTGTGTTTTGCGTTATCTTTCTGTGTGAATTGTGCACCAATATATTTCATTTGGTGTATTTTTCTATTTGTGCAAATTTGATTGAGGATCTCTTGCTAATTGTGGAGATCTCATCGATTGGCCATTCACGACGAAACTGCAAAATTCGGCAATGGTTTGTAGTACAGCTACAAGGAAAACAAGTGCTCGTCGGCCCACGCAACAGCAAACGAAAGTGATTTGTGCTTTGAAATCGTGCTCTAAAACAATCCGGATTGCAATAACTTGTAATATCTGTGAAAAGAGCTTTCATCCCCGGTGCGTAGGTGTAGCAAAAATGAAGGAACGACCTTGCACATCAGACTCCATTTGGTGCTGTGCTGAGTGCATGGCCAACCCGCTCGTGAGGTGCGTTGCTCTACTGACAGAGAAATGTGACAAACTAACCCAAATTGTGCGACTAGCAACAGCTGAAACAGCGGGTGGATCGCAACCAGCTGGTGCCGCACTCGACTCATGTTGTCTAACCGGATGCCCACACCTGGCACAAACCAGTCAAAACGATTGTCTAGTAAAGAGCATACATCCCGCAACCCCACTCACGATAGGCTGCAAACAGAGAGTTTATGAGAGACTGCCAACCCCGGCGAATCCAACGTTGCAGAGTTCGGTTTTCCCGAGTGATATGGCTGTGGCTCATGATACTCCAGTGCATTCCGATTTACCGAATAACACAGGTAGTCCGACTACCTATGCAAATATCGTCGCTGATTGTCCACCCGTGGCAAATTTAACCAGCGTGTCTGCAAGCACACCGAAGGTTGTTAGAGGCGACACTAATAACAATGTGTACACGAAAAGATTTCCCCCCACGCCGCCGGTAATAGGAGGCATGCCGGTATCCAAATGTACGAACTCCAAGAAGATGCAGAGTTCGATGAAGATAATATGCTCTAACGTGCCTGAGTCAAAGTCAAACTCTATCAAAGATAGACTACTGGACGACATGAAACAGTGGGAATCCATATGCCGAGCAATTGGAATACAGCCTAAACAGGCTAGCTTATGTCGTATCATCCGCCACCCCAACTCACTTCACTATGGCGAGCCGAGACTACTTCAAGTGACATTGCAGTCCGGTAACGAAGCAGAGACAGTCCTCTTGTCAGCTCACCGTCTTCGTGATTCATCATGCGGAGTTCGCATATTCCCGGATATACCTTGGA